TCAGATGACTCTAGAAGGTATCTGTAGGAAAACTGGCTTGGTCAAGAAAAACAGAAATCAACCGACGGCATGGGGTCTGGAAGCAGAATGCAGAGGTAGAATGCATGCTTATCATGTGCAAGGCCCAGCAGTCAACAGCCAGCAGGAGAAAATTAATTAAAAGTTTATGTCATGAGGGAGAGGGGGAAGAAAAGATGGTTGTAGGGAAACTGGGGCAAGATTTATAACGAAACACATCCAATCTCCTTCAACTTGCATAATCCAGAAGGAAAGAAGATTAACTGAGAAATGTGAACACAGACCCCTGGGTTTCAGAAACACTAAAGAATCATTACTTGTTCTTTAGTTCTGGTAATGGTCCTGGGACTAAATAATAAACCGTTTTTATTTTTCCATGATGCACCAGGGAATTCAAGGGGTAAAATGTCATAGTCTCTATTTACCTTGAAACCCTGGAGATGCTTCAGTGCTTTTGCTTCACTGTTTTGATTCTGCTGCCATGTAAGTTTTAGAGAGTTGCAGGAGAAAACTAAATTCTAAGATTTTAAGCCAGATGTGGAGAGGTGCACAGCTATGATCCCAGCACTCCAGGGGCTGCGGGAGGAGGACTGGGGGAGGCGTGGGCTACATAGCAAGATTCTATCTCAAAAAGCCAAAATAAATACAGCAAATATAAAATCTTAAACAACTAAAATAAAAAGTGGAATAGAGGGACCTAATGGCAGGTCACTTTGACACATGAAAGGCAAAGAAAAAGATTCAATAGGCTGACTTTAAAATTTCAATATTTTGACTGTAAATATTGGGAATATGAACAAAAAGATTACAGAAAAAAATGTTTAAATGAATTCAGTATTCCTACTAATTGGTATAATAGTTGTTATTCGTATTATAATTGGTGTTATAATAATAATATTGGTGTTATTGTTTTTATTATAAAAATTACCTATAATGGATATATATAGATATGTACACACAAATATATAGCACATACAGTATAATGGAAATAACTGTGTTAATATCATCAGGGGCCAAGATTTTCAGTCCAAGATAAATAGGTTACAAATATAAAAATCAAAGAGATTTTTAAAAGGGGCTGGAGAGATGGCTCGGTGGTTAAGAACACCGGCTGCTTTTGCAGAGGACTTGGGTTGAGTTCCTGGCACCCACCTAGCAGCTAACAATCCTCCTTAAGTCCAGTTCCAGTAGATCCAACTTGGACACTGCATGACACAGGTGCATTTACTTACATACAAGGAGTACACTCATACATATACAATTTAAAAAATAAAGCCAAGCAGAGGCAGGGTGATCTCTGTGAGATCAAGGCCAGCCTGGTCTACATATCAAGTTTCCGGCCAGCTGGGGCTACAGAGAGACCTATCTCACACACCTCTGCAATCTAAAAATGAACTGGAAATAGTGATATGAACGCATGCCTCATTGTTGTCTTAAAAAATTCAGACTCCCTAGCTTTGTCTTCTGCAAAGAATGGACACACCTGCTGCTGGTGCAAGGTTAGTGGTCTCCATCACCATGTCCAAAGGAACCAGAACCCCTTGGGTTCTCAGGTGGGACATGTGTAAGGTGGAAAGTCTTCACAAGGAAAGGACAGAAGCTACTAGAGATGTGTCAACGGACACAGCAACCAAGACAAGAGGCCCTCACTGGTCAAAGAGGGATCATCTGAGACTGCAAAAGAGGGACTGCAATGTGAACACGCTAAGTTATTTCAAATTCACTAGTTTGAAATGCGACTGAAAATAAACACACATTACCTTCAGAGGTTGCCAAGGCAACAACTCATTACTTTGAAAAGTGAAGAGAAACAACAATGAATCAGACATTTTATCTAGTTTTCCCAGAAAGATTATATTTTAATGTGAAGTAAAAAGTCTCTAACTAGAAGAAACAGCCATTAATTAAGGAAAGGCTGTGATATGAGAACTGATAATAAGTGGGTCCATTGGCAAGCTGAATGTTGCATGAGGAAAGACCAACACCAATGAAGTTCACAACATAATTGATGAAGTATTTTTTACCAAAAAATGAATCTGAATCTGGCCAAGCTTTGAGACATAGTATCAATTTACAGGCGTGATGGTAAATATTGGTTGTCAACTTGACAGAATCTAGAATCACCTAGGAGACAAACCCTGGGCATGCCTATGAAGGAGGTTCTAGACTGGGCTAATTGAGGTTGGAAGACCACCATGGGGTCTTGGATTGAAAAAAAAAAGAGAGAGAGAGAGAAAGCTAGCTGAGCACCAACATTCATCTTTGTTTCCTGTCAGCCGATGCAATGTGACCAGCGGCTTCTTCCTTCATGACGTCTTCTTAATTTCATGATGGATTGCACCCTCAAACCGTGAGCCAAAATGAAACCTTCCTTCCTTAAGCTACTTTTGTCAGGTATTTTGTCACAGGTAACTATGGCAACAAGAAATATAAAGCATGGTGCATGCCTCAGCATCATCAGAGGACAGTCAGCCAGGGCCATGGTGTGGATGCATCTCTAGAACAGCCAGTCCTTCTTTTTAACAAATGAAAGTTAAGAAAACAAGACAATGAAGGAGAATACTTAATGACTAGGAGACTTGAGAGTCACAGCAATCGGGCAGTGTGCAGGCTTTGTTCAGATTCTAAATGCAGACAACTACAGAATTAGAATAAGGAGCCTATCTAACACCATTATTCTTCTCTTTGTGCAGTGGTGCTGGGAATCAGGCCTAGGGTCTTGTACATGCTAAGCTCAAGCTCCCAACTCAAGAAGTATTCATTTTTAAGGGGTCATAAGAATTATTTTAGGCTAGGAAGATGGCTCAGTCAGTAAGCACTAGATCTCCAGAACCAGCCCCCGCCGCCCTGCCACAACACACACACACACACACACACACACACACACACACACAAACCCAAGAGCTAGCCAACCCCCCCCCCCCCCCCCGACAACCCACACACACACACACACACACACACACACACACACACCAAAAAAACAAAAACAAAAACAAAAACGCTAGGAAGCCAGACCAGTGAGTGAGCCAAGGCAGCTGCTGCCAAACCCGGCAACCCGAGTTCAATCCCAGGACCCACATGTTGGAAGGAGAGAACTGACTCTCACAAGTTGTCCTTTGACCTTCATACATACAACACATATGCATGCGCGCACACACATACACATAAAATTATCTTTTAGAGTTATATGCTAATTATTGGAAAATGAAAGAATTTTCTATCTGGCATTGTTTCAAATAATCAAGAGGGCCAGAAGGGGAAGTTCAACAAAGGAGGATTGGCCAAATACTGACAACCGAATGAAATGAATGACAGATATAGAGGAACAGAACACCTTGTGTTTAATTTTGTGTATGTCTGTGAAGATCCATTATAAACAGCTTTTTCAAAAAGGTTTCAGGGGCTAGGGATGTAGCTCAGTTGTTAAAGTGATTGCTCAGCATGCAGGAAGCCCTGGGTCCAATCCCTAGCACTGCATACACAGTTATGTTAGTACACAGTTGTACCCCAGTGAGCATCTGGATCAAGAGTTCAACGTATTGACAATATATTGAGTTTGAGGCCAGCTTGGGCTACATGAAACCCTGTCTCAAAAAAAAATTTTTTTTTTTAAATTTTGATTTTAAAAAAGGATGAACACGAATGTAGAGGTTGAAATGAAGTCTTGGGGTATTTGGACGAAGCGTTAACTACCAACTTCTGAATGATAGGAATATGGATGCTTGCACCTACTAATGCTGAAAATGTTCATGATGGTGAATGAGTTTCAAAGCACTTAAACCCAGCCACCATTCAGAAATGGCTCCAAGTTACACAGATTATGAACTGTGGGTACACACACCTACTGCTGATGATTGCTACTGACATCCTAAAACCTTTTAACTCAAAGGACCAAGTGTTAAAAAGAAAAAGTTCAAATTTGAAATTTAGATTGCTAAGGGAAAAAAAAAAGAAAAAGTGGGGCCCAGAGAAAAAACAGCAGCTGATGCCACAGTGACACACACTTATGCCTAGGATGTAAAGGATTCCAATTTAGAGTCAAATGAAAGGGAGCTGGCTTGGGAATTTCAACCAGGCCCCAAATGACATCACTCACCTTGATAAACAGAAAAACCTGTCACCATGTACCTTAAAGCCTCAGAACCTTAAACAACGGGGACACAAACAGCAACCCAATGGAGGCTGAAAGCTTTTAAAATTATCTATATTAATAGGTTTCATTATGACATTTTCATACAAGTATATAATGTGTTTGATCATTTACTCCCCATTAACCTCCTTTGTCTTTCCCCCATTCTCATTGATCCCTCTTCCTCCTCCCAGTTAGTCCTCTTCCTCTTTCTACTTTTATGCCTCCCTCTCTCCCCCTCCCCCTTTTCCTCCCCCCCCCTCCTCCTCCTGCTCCTTCTTCTTCTTTTTTGGTGAGTCAATGAGTTTCATTAGGGCTGCTTACAGAAGAATGGGTAAGGGATAGTGCACAGGAGCACGGACACCTTACCAATGGCTACATCAGTGAAGAAAATGTCCCAGCAACCATTAACTGAGTATATAGAGCACCTCAGAGAGGGGCAGAGCCTTGGGAGCTCCTCCCTAGAAAAACGTCTATGATCTGGCATTAGATAACGTAAAATTGTAAAATAAGGCTAAAGAGATGGCTCAGTGGTTAAGAGCACTGGCTGCTCTTGCAGAGGACCTGTGCTCAGTTCCCAGCACCCACCGTGGCAGCTAACAACTGTCTGTTAACTCCCAGGGGATCTGATGGCCTCTTCTGGTCACTGTAGGCACTGCATGACATGGGTGCACTTACATACATGCAGCCAAACACTCATGCACATAAAATAAAAAAAATAAATATTAGACTTATAAAATAAACCAAGCAACATCCATGCTGGCTCCTTGGACACACTGAACAGCCTCAGATAGCAGGATCTGCTCTGACAGAGCTCTGCAGGGCTGGAGCCTGCTGACACTGACCCTCATACCTGATGATAACACATTGGTTCTCCCTGTCGATGATCATGTTTCGGTACATACTGTCTGCGAGTGCATAAATATGAGGTGGATTTTCATACTGTGCCTAGAAAAGCAAAAACAGAAACAAAAACTACAGTCAGACAGAGCAACTCAATACATTTCTTTTTAAAAAATATTTTTGTTATTTTTATTTTATGTGTATGAGTGTATTGCTTGCATGTATGTAAGTGCATCCATGTCATGCAATGCCCAAAGAGGTCAAAAGAGGGTGTCAGATCCCCTGGAACTGGAGTTAGGATGGTTGTTAGCCACCATGTGGGTGCTGGGAATTGAATCCAGGTCCTCTGGAAGAGCAGTCAGTGCTCTTAACTGTTGAGTCATCTCTCTAGCCCCCACAATATATTTCTTTTGGCTGACCAATGAACCCACCACCATATACAGTTTCAGTGCCTATAATTTACATGATAAGGTTGCATGGTTTAACAATCCATAAAATTTCCTACATTATGTATGACCAGTTACACCTTGAGAAAATAAAAGTGGAGTTTGGAAGGACTGCTCTGTAGGCATGCCTATGAGTCATCCAGACATGACCCAAGTCGTCAGACACTCCAGCACCACACCCTTTCACCCAGGCACACCTCTGCAAGGACACGCATCTCCCAAATTCATTTGGAAACACTTGGGTCAGGTCTGAAGAGAGCCCTACCCAAAACCTGGGTATCATTTTGACCAGAATTCTAAATTCTGGTGGAGTTTTTTTCTAAGAGGCAAACTGCAGATTCTTAGCTCTCATTGGGGATTGATACAGCTATGACTGAGGAGGGAAATTTAGATTTTTCCAGGAGAAGTAGGAGGAAGGTATGATTCTTTAAACTGGTTTGGTCAGTTTGCTTCCACTCTGCTGGAGTCCTCAGGGAGGGATCTACTACAATAAGAGTCTCCTGTGTGTCGACTGGGTCTCATGGGTGGTTTAGGTATGTACAGATATAAAACTAAAGTATGTCCCACACCTAAGAGAGTTACTTTGTCAGATGACTTCAACCACACTTTATTCAGTTTCTTGGCACCTACTTTTGCCACTCTTAAAAAAAAAGCCCTAGGCTTGTGTCGCGAGCCGGGACTCTGTCCAGCAGAGTCCAGGAAAGACGACACAGACACCAAGGTGAGGTTCAAGCTTCTGTTTCTCTTGCATCCTTTATTCTCTCTCTTTATCTCATACACTATGATGCTGCTTCTGTTCTGTTCTGTTCTATTCTGTTCTGTTCTCTTCTGTTCTGTTCTATTATATCTCTCACTTCATTCTCTCTCACTTCATTCTCACTTATCTCATTCTCTCTCACTATGATGCTGTCTCGTAGTTGCTGCTCTGTTGCTGTGTCCTTATGATGCTGTGTTCCCATGATGCTGTGTTTTTGTCTCCTCTGTCTGTGTCTCTGTCTGCTCCTATTACACACTTCAGCTCTTTATATAGCGTTTCCAACAGTCCTCCCCCCAGCCGGTACCAATCAGGGCTCACACACGCTTTCTGGATATACACACAACACACATAAACAGTAAGAGAAATGTATTTCCAGAGAAAAGACCTGGGTAGGAAGGTGAAGACAGACAGCAAGGAGCTCTACCTCTACCTCTACATTCTTTGCACTTGGTGAATTTGTGCCTCATTTGAATTACCTAAAACAAAACTTCCTTAAAAAACAAGGATTCCCACAGGCTTGGTGGCACACACCTTTAATCCCAGCACTCAGAAGACAGAGGCAGGAGGATCTCTGTGATATCCAAGTCAGCCTGGTCTACATAGGGAGTTCCAGACCAGCCAGTACTATATAGTAAGATCCTGACTCAAATAAATAAAAAAGCAAATAAAAAATAAATAAACAGATAAAGCTGGTGCAGCAGCACATGCCCGTAATCCCAGAATTCAGGAGGTGGACAAAGGAGGCTCAGTTCATGGTCATCATCAGTTACATAGTAAGTTCAAGGCCAGGCTGGGCTGCGTGAGACTCTCAAAGGCAAACAGGACTGGTGAGATGGCTCAGTGGGTAAAGAGACTTGTTGACAAGCCTGATGATCTGTGCTTGATCCCTGGGACCCATACAGTAGAAGGAGAGAATGCAAGCTGTCCTCTGACCTTCCTATCAAGACCAGGATGACTTGTGGTCCCATCTCTGAGGTAGATATAATGTCCATGTAGCAGAGAAGATGGATGGGAAGCAATTTCAAAAGGTGAGGCATAGCCTGCTGAATCCACCCTTGAGGCATATGATATCTGAAGAAAAAGGAGCCAGCTGGAAAACTGCTGCTCACTGCCAAGTTTCCAAAGACCAGAGCTCAGAGGTGAAGGGGGAAGAGGGTAAGGCATCAAGTACAAGTCAAGTATTCATGTGTCCCATGCCTAGTGCCTCCCCTTTGTGGGTGGGTTTCCCATGGGAATCACCCCTAAGGATGGGAGGCTGATCCTCAACTAGAGACCCCATACAGAGGCTATGGTATACACTAAGCCTGCCTTCGTGGTCAGAGGAGGAGGCCTGGAGCATCTCAGGACAGGGTCTTAGAGAGGAGGCCTGGAGGACCTCAGGACAGGGTTTCAGATGGTTTTCTTTTAGCCCTGCTCACAGGGGCAGGATAATGTTTAATGCCGCTTTGAAAAATAGGCAGAAGATGGTAAGGAGGAAGAGAGGATGCAGAGTGGAAGGAGATGGAGTGGAAAGGATGCTGTGGGTAGTGGAGGGGAAGGAGAGGACAAGCCTCTCTCACTAAGGCCCAAAGCTGCATACCTCCCAATAACCATGTAGCCAAGGATGACCTTGAACTTCTGATCCTCTCTCTTGCCTCTACTACTCTAGTGCTGGGATTACAGGCATACATCACCATACCTGCTTTATTCAGTGTCCATGATGGAATCCAGGGCTTCGTGCATGCTAGGCAAGCTCTCTACCAACTGAGCTATAGCCCCAGCTCCCTAACTCCATACTTTGAACTTGATCCATCTACAGTCACCAAGTCTCTACCCTGTGAAGTACAGAGTAGACTATCCTCTGATTCTCCCATTCCTGGAGACCCTGAAAGTCATTAAGACTCGAGCTGAACTCCTAGCTCAGTAGATTACTCAGTAGATTCCTCCGCTTCCCCTCTGTGAAATGGGGGTAGACAGTGTGATACAGTATGCATCCAGGGATGTTTTATTATTGTTGCAAACACACATAACACATGATACTCAGTAAAAACCAACTTTATAGTACTGTTAACATTAGCAATAAAAATATTTTAAAAAAATTCCCTGACAGTTCTATGCAGAGAACTCTTGGAAAGATGAATAAGCTAAAAGGGACTGGTATGCAGGAACTCTTTTCAGAGAACTAGAAAGAAACCAGGGGTGGGAGGTGTTCAGTTCTTCACCCTGGAACCTTGGCTGTTGCCAGGGTGCCGGGCCTGCTCCTTGCTTGCTACCCTAGAATCTGTGAACTGGGGCGCCAGGGCAGGCGCAGAACTCTGCTGGCAGTGCTTTCTTTGTGTTGGCCTCCCATAAAGGCAGCATTATCAAAGGTCTTTCTCAGGGCAGCCTCCTTGGGCTCCGGCTACCAGCACCATTCATCTGGCAACAATGGGGTACGGGCTTGCTCTGAGTAAACTGCCTTCCATTTAGACTCATGATTTGTTTGGGCTCGCTTTTGTTTGTCTCCCAGGGCAGAATTAATGAGCACTTCCTCTGCTTCCTGTGCAGTGAAGAAGGATGAGAAGGAAGAGGAAAGGAGGGAGATGCTGAGAACTGGAGGCCAAGGGAGGGATGAACTGCAGAACCGGGCATGTTAAGAAGGTTTGCTGTTCTTACTTTTAGCCCACAAATGAAATGACTCTAGAGATGGATTTGATGAGAGAACAGAGTCACATTAATAACTGAAGCAATGAAAGATACATATTTCATTTTCAAGTCCCAGACACAGCTTAACACAGATACTAATTCTTAAAGTTCCCATGACCATACTTTTTCTTTTTTAAAAAATATTTTATTTCTTATTTTCATTTTATGTGTATGAGTGTATTGACTGCATGTACGTGAGTGCACCCGTGTTGTGCAATGCCTCGGAGGTCAGAAGAGGGCATTGTATTCCCCTGGAGCTGGAGTTAACGATGGTCCGTAGCCACCATGTGGGTGCTGGAAATCAAACCCGGGTCCTTTGCAAGAGTAGTGAGTGCTCTTAACTGCTGAGCCATTTCTCCAGCAACCCCCTTCTTTTTTTACCCATTACTGCTTCTTTAAAAATGTGTGGGGCTGGAGAGATGGCTCAACAGTTAAGAGCATTGGCTGCTCTTATAGAGGACCCAGGTTTAGTTCCCAGCACCCACATAGCAGCTAACAACTATTGGTAACTCCAGTTCCAGAGGTTCAATGCCCTCTTCCAGCCTCTGAGGAAACTGCGCCACATAGGTGCATGTACATACATGCAGGCAAAACATTCAAATACATAAAGTAAATAAAATAAATGTGTGTGTATGAGTTCATGCGTATGTGCGCATGTGTGTTGGTATGTGAGCATTCGTGTGCACGCCAGGGGACAATCACTGGTGTTACTCAGGGAAGCTGTCCATCTCCTATGAGATAGGATCTCTCACTAGGTTGGAGATAACCAATTAGGTTAGACTGCCTGGCCAGCACGCCTCAGGGGTCCTCCCGTCTGCATTCCCCCCAGTGCTGGGATTGTAAGGACGCACCACAATGCCCAGCATTTTCACATGTGCCACAAGCAAATTACCACATTTTAATACTTATAACTTTGCAGCATATATGAAGCCAGAAGATTGCCCCAAAACTCAGGGTACTGTATTCAATTAACTAAATTTATGTGTAAATAAGGTTCACATATTAGATAGCCCTATGTTCCTTTGAGCTACAAGCTAAAGAGCATCTGATTAAAAAATAAAACGTCACTTACTTGAGCTTCCCCCAGTGAATAATTCATAAGAAAATGCAAATATATTATCAACTTCAAGAAAAACTATTTATGTATTGCAGAACCCTAAATATGACAAGTGGTTCCTACGGTACAGAACTTACCGCTCCTTGGTACATTTCAATTTCTTTTTCCCCAAAATACGGCATATGCTTGAAAGGGTTGACGGAGATTAACACGGATCCTATATATGTCTGAATTTAAACCTGGTTAAGGTCTAGTGTTCACTTTTGTAGAACATGTTTTTCAAATTTCATAAACAGATGTTACGGAGAATCTAATGAGCAGCCAAATGAAAGCTCACCTGCATGTTCTGTAAACGACAACAAAGACAATTATTCACTAGCTCCAGGTTTATTCTTCCTCAGGAAAAGTAAGGAAGCTCATTATCATGGTGCTACAAAGCCATATACACAAAGCCCCTTCTTTTCAGATCTACAACATGCAGAGCCAGGAACAAACAGAACGGAAACATCCAAGGCTAGACCAGGGCAGTTGGCATCCCCCTCCTGAAAGGAGATGTATTGTCTCCCTTAGAATGTTCATATTTCTGAGGTAGACTACCCATACACTTGTGTACTCATTTAATAGAGGGATCTGAATAGTCTGGCTCTGCACAAGCTTGGGGGTGCTGAGAGGTACCAACGAGGTCATGTTCCAGGAAGAAAATCACAATCCACGTAGATGAGGTTCAGAGGAGAAATGAATTACTGCTATGCATAATTATTATTATTGCAGGTAGGGGTGGGGTGGATGGGAGTGCAGGTGTGTGTGTGTGTGTGTGTGTGTGTGTGTGTGTGTGTGAGAGAGAGAGAGAGAGAGAGAGAGAGAGAGAGAGAAGTGCAAGGTGTATGTGTGTTGTGCATTCCTATGCTTGTGTGAGGCTGTGTGAGCGCACGCACATGAGGAGCACCAGAGGAGGACATTGGGTGTCTTGTTCAATCACTGTCTACCTTATTCCCTTGAGGCAGGGTCTCTAAATGAACCTGAATAGAGCTGAGCTGGCAGCCAGCAAGCCCCAGCCACCCTCCTATCTCTGCCCTGAACACAACTGATATCACAGGCCTGGGCATCCACACCCAGCGTCTCACAAGATGTTAGGGGATTTGAACTTGGGTCCCTATACTTGCTCAACAAGTGCTCTCTCTCTCTATCACTGGGCCATCTCCCTAATCCAATTCTACACATTTTAATGCATCGTAGAAAGTGGAATGCTAGTAGAGTGCAACAAACAAACAAAACGAAAACAAAAAGCCTTCCCTCATTCAACAATCAACTCATTTGTTTTGGGTGCTTATGATATGGCCAATACTGTTTTAGATGCTGAGACACTAACAGTAAACAAAAGAAAACAAACTCTTCATTGTCACTCTCGGAGAGGGAAAATGAAGAAACTTTCTTTCTCTCCCCAAACTGGATTTCTGTTATTTTTCTTGTTTTTAAGGCGGCGTTTCTTGCTATTTGCTTAGGTTGGTCTCTAACTCCTGGGTTCATGTGATCCTTCTGACTCAGCCTCCCGAATTCTGGGACTATAGATATGCAATGCCATGCCCCACTCAAAATTATTCTTCAAAAATATTTTTATTATTTTATTTTGTATGAGTGTTTTGCCTGCACATATGTATGCACACCATATGCATACAATGCCTGCAGCAGCCAGAAGAAGGTTTCTGATGCCCTGGAACTGAAGTTACAGGAAGTTGTTAGCCGCCATGTGGGTGATAGGACCCAAACACAGGTCTCTGCAAGAGCAACCAGTGCTCTTAACCAGTGAGCTGTCTCTCCAGCTCCTCAAAGTTATTCTTTTAATCACTAAATTAAAAATACCCCTAGGTTATAAAATCATTAAAACTAATCACCTAATAAAGTTTATTTACAAATAAGTCATTAAAATTAAACTTATTAAAACATACTAACAAATAAATAGTTTTAAATAGTATAAAACATAAAATTGTGAGATTTCCTCCCAGAGAACCATTTTTATAATAGGAGCTGTGTGTCAAAAAGAGCAGCCCACAAGCAGGTGACTCGGCTTGCCTGGGTTCCCAAGCCTGTTCCACTCTCACCTCAGGCAAGTCACATCTCTTAGACATGGCTAATGGATGATGCAGATGAACTAGGACCCACTCAATGGCCCTGCTGTGGGGTAGATGAAATAGTCAATGTACAATGCTCACTTAGATGCTGGTCCCTCACCTCACAGTCTCTAGACACAGGTTTCATTATATGTTAATATTTCTGGAATCATGATGCGTGTTACAATTGTGGCTTCTTAGCTTGTATGAGATGTGGCATTATTAATATGCAACACAAGTAAGTGTGGATGGAATGTATAATTTAAAGACACACACACACACACGCACACATACACACACACAGTGAAGAATGACTTGGTGGCTTTTTTTACTTATTTGTCACTGAGAAAGACCTTCCAAGTTTAAAAGGTGAGGATAAATTGGTATTAAAGATGGTAATGAAGTGTTTTTTTAAACAATTATTTAATTTTAATTATTTAGCAGATAAAAGACACAGTAACCAAGACTTTGTAAATGGTGACAAAACTAACAGAACACAGGCACATAATATATACATTTAATCCACATACCTGATAACAATCCTATTACTGTTGTTAGGTAAGCACTTGATGACTGAGCTATAGCCCCAGTCCATAGTCCTGTTTCTATTGTTAATACTGTGCTGCTATGAGAACGTGGACAAAAATTTAAAATTTAAAACCTGCTCAAAGACACAGCCAATAAGTGGCAGAGCTACTTTTCCAATCCAGGCAGGCTGATTCCATAGTCTAAATAAAGAAGACACAAGGGGCTGGGGGTGTAGCTTGGTTGGTAGAGTGCCTCCTTGTAGTACATAAACCAGGTGTGGTGGTACATGCCTGTAATCTCAGGACTTCAGAAGTGGAGGTAGGAGAATCAGAAGTTTGAGGTCAGCTACATCAAGAGTTCAAGGCCAGCCTAGGCTATAGACCTTGTGGAGGTGGGGATGGGGGAGAGGCATGAGTGACACCTTTCTCTAACTAGCAAGCACTGTCATTGCTATTAGCTGAGTTGTCAGATTTAGTAAATAAAAATACAGAATACCTCATTAAATTTGAACACTGGGTAAACAACGAATAATGTCTAAATTATAAGTACGTCCATAGTAATATTTGGGACACACTTATGTTGAAATGTTGCTTGCTTAGCTGGACACAGCTGGGCACTCTGTTTTATCTATGAGCCTTAAATTAACAATGCAAGGGGCTCATGCAGGGTGGAGAATGTATTGCCTGCATGTGTGTAAGTGTACCCATGCGTGCAATGCCCATGGGATTCAGAAGAGGGTGTTGGATCCCCTGGAACTGGAGTTACAGAGGGTTGGTAGCTGCCATGTGGGTGCTGGGAATTGAACCCAGGTCCTCTGCAAGAGCAGCCAGTGCTCCTAACAGCTGAGCTATCTCTCCAGCCCCTAGAATCCTTCCTACATGGTAAGGACCCAATCAAAATTGAACAAATAAGTTCTGCCTCTCATTTGGGATCTCATGCTCAACAGATGTAACAATTCTTAGGGTGCTTAAATCATCCTCTCCAGGTGCATTCATCTCTGTGTGAAAACAACCTTGGAAGACAGGGTCCTTCCATGGAGGAGCGTGCCACTTCCCTTAGCTGTAAAGAGAATACTGTCAATGCCACCTTAAATAGTGGGAATAGTGTCAACTGATCACTGCACACAGATGGAAATAAAGAATGCCCTGAGGATGTGAGATGTGAGCCAAAGTCTCCAGGCCCCCCCACCCCCCACTCATCCAGCTCTTGGCTACCCAATAAATATGAACTCGGGTTCATATGAGCTGCAAACATAATCAACATTTTTAGACTATTATTAATATGCTCTATTAAGAGATAGCTCATGAATTCTTGATTTTTCACTGAGTAGATTATATTAATTCTGGTAACAGTATGGTTTAAGAGACATTCAGAGGAAAGGGGGGAGAAAAAAAAACCCTATTTTGGAAGATTCTAGACCAATGCTGAGCCAATGGCTCAGGAGAGAATGAGAGGGAATCATCACTGCCCCCTTAAATTTCCCATCAGGGTCTTCAAGGGCATCATTATTTCGGAAGGTGGATGAAGAATAAAGTCTGGTTTGAAATGAGCGATGTGTCTTGATTCTATGCTGAGTACCTGTGAGCTTACCTATATCAGGACTGACAGGATTTTAGAATTAGAAGAAACAAACACATTTTAGTTATTTCAGGCTAGACACTGACTTAATGGTTTATCTAAACAATTTTGCCTTTTCTCCCTGGTTGGATCTGAAGAGACCTCAGTTAATATCCAGAGAACCTAGGGGCTCCAGTCGAGGAGGAACTCCAGGTAAGGCCTACAATACTCCCTCTCACTCCTACTACATAATTCAGGTGTGCCTCTGGGAGGTGGGTCAGGATCATTGTCTCCACCCACATTAATTTTCAGCTTAAGGTTAATTTTCAAAATGAAAGTAGATATGCAGCCATGATAACAAAAAGCAGGAGGGAGGGGCATCTCACTCAATAGCCCGAGAGTCAGAAGGGACATGCTAGATCTTTAACTGACTGGTTCCCAGATGTTTGTACATGTATCTATGAATGTTCATTAACCTGCAGCTTGAATGAAAAAAAAAGAATACATTGAATTTTTCATAAAGCTCATGAGCCAGCGAGACGGCTCAGAAGGTCAAGGTACTTCCCACGAAACTTGATGATCTGAGTTTGATCCCTAGAACCCATGTAAAGGTGGAAGGAGAGAACTGACTTCTGATCTCTGTCTGTACATTCCTCACATCACCACAATAATAATAATAAAGTAAAAATATAAAATGGGGCTGGAGAGATGGCTCAGCAGTTAAGAACACTGGTTGTTCTTGCAGAAGACCCGGGTTCAAATCCCAGCACCCACATCGCAGCTAACAACTGTCCTTAACTCCAGTTCCAGACAGCCTCTTCTGTCCTCCGCGGGCATTGTATGACATGGGTGCACTTATATACATGCAGGCAATACACGCATACACATAAAATAAAAATAATAAATAATAAATACTTTTAAAAAATATATGTACAAAGCTCAATTCATTCCATATAAAAGACTATTCTTTGGTTTTACACTATTTTCTTCTGACACATCTAGTGTTAAAATAGACTTTTTTCTGGCATGCAGTT